AACCATTTTAATTATGTTATTATTATTACTTATTTTATGTAATCTAGTCTTAAGTAATTTAAAAAGATCCATATTTTTAGATTTTAGTTACTTTTATAATAATAAATAAAGTATAAATATGAAAAACAAGAATTAAAGTACTTACCCAATCATCTTTTTTCTTGCTCTCAATTGTTGATGACTGTTAAGTCTCATTTTTCATAGTACTAATGATAATGCACTTAATTTTTATTTAATTAAATAATGCACCAAAGAACATAGACTAATAACATGCAAAAAGTAGACAATTCCCCCTAACTTTTTTTTTTTTTTCTGGCTTTCTAACTATGTGACCAGAGCTGTTACAAATTCATCCAAGCTAGTCATTAGCTTTCTTATGGAAATGGAACTTGTACTCTGATTGAAATTGACAATTATCTGTTCAAAACACAATGTTATACAATAAATCATTTGATATATGAAAACCTTGGCTTTCTATTGGTTAATATATAGGTAATATATAATTAAATGTAAGAGAAAACTATTAACAAATCCTGAAAGATTGGTGTGGCAGGAGGGATCTGATTTTCTATTTGATAGCTCTGTAACCAAACAAAATAGAAGGCTATAAAAATTATGGTTTGTTTGAGCAATGACAATTTTATAGTGAGTAATTTACATTTAATTTCATACTTTTTGTAGGGGTGGTGGATAAAATAGAGAAGATACTAGGAGAAAATGTGTCACACTATGGGATGATCAGGATTTTTTTTAAATATTGACTTGTAAATTTAAGAACTTAAAACTTATATTCTATTAAAATATGGATTATTAGCTAAGATTTTATGCTATACTAATTGGTATAACATAAAAAATAGTAGTTTAATGCAATTTTGAATGTAAGACACTAAAACAGTGTCGTATGCAGTAAAGGATATCCGTGGTGACAGGGTTAATGGCAACATAAAAAGGATATTGTTTTAGTTGTGTCAGTAAATTTTTCAGCATATTTTACCACCAGTGATATTCTTGTTTTGGAAAGCTCTGTTATTTGATTTTATTGTTTGGAGATGCTCTTTTATAATCCAGCACACTTTATGCCTACATTATGTATTTGTTCTCTGGAGTACTGTGATATGGATCTTTTACATGTATAATGATACACTTTATCTTAAAACAAAATATTAAAAAAAACATGCACTTTCAACATTAGGTTATTCATTTTTCAGCTGTTGTCAAAAGTGCAATCTTAAAGTACAGCAGTTCTACTACCACAGTTGTTTGATGATATGATTGGTATTAACACTTTTGCTACAGGCATCTTTTTTTGTGCTTGTCAAGAGGTTTTAGTGAGTTACATCCAAAATTTAATTAAACTACTTTTTTATCGTGATA